GCTTGGAGGGGGGGTGGGAGTCGGAGGAAAGGGCTGAAGCATGTAGGGCTTCGGGGCTTCGGGGGTTGAGGGGTTGAGTTAAGGAGGTTTGGGGTTTAGGGTTTAGGGTTTAGGGTTTAGGGTTCAGGGCTTAGGGTTTCGGGTTTAGGGTTTGGGGTTCAGGGCTTTAGTGAGGGAAGCTTCGCTCCCCCTTTTGGGAGAACCGAAAAAGGACGTCCGGACCCGGGAGGCAAGGGGCTTAGAGAATCAGGGGCCTTAAGGGTTCTGGGGTTTAGGGTTTAGGGCTAGGGTTTAGGGTTTAGGGCTAGGGTTTAGGGATGTAGAGGGTTTAGGGTTTAGGAGTTTAGGATTTAGGGTGCGGGGGTTCTGCGGTATAGCTGTCGTTCTCCCTGTCATGGGCACTTGAGATCCCAAAAAAGGGCGGCGGCTCTCATCGCCCAAGGGCTCAGCGAGAGGCTTGAGGTCTTTAGCTCTGAGGGTTTTGGGGCCACTAAGACCCTAAACCCTCAACCCTAAACCCTAAACCCTAAACTCTGAGGGTTTTGGGGCCACTAAAACCCTAAACCCTCAACCCTAAACTCCCAAACCCCTACGTACGCCTTCCCCCCCCCCCCAAGTCGCCCGTCGCACGAACGCGAGCGCTTCCCACAAACAAACCTTCAACCGGTCGACGCGCAGCGTCTACAGCTCTGGGCTTTTTTCGGTTTTAGGGTTTAGGGTGGTTAGGCTGTTCAGGGCGTTCAGGGTGCTTAGGGTGTTTAGGGTGGTTAGGTTGTCTGGGGTGTTTAGGGTGTTTGGGGCGTTTAGGGTGTTTTGGGGTTCTCTGTTGTAGCATGCTCTTTTGGCTAGATTGCAGATACGTGCCGCAAGGGCCACACAGCCCAGGCCCCTAAGCCTGACCTCACAAAGAAGATGCGACATGCGAAGGGACCCGCTGTTCTCTCGACGCAAAACGACTGTCTACACCATGGAGGTTGGTGTCAGAAATGCTTCCGGTTGGCCTGCTGGCCGACGAATTACGCCAGCTCGAAATCCCCAAAACCACCTCTCTGTAAGTGGCCTGCTTGATTTTCCGGAGCATCCCGAAAACCTAAACCCTAAACCCTAGACTCTAAACCCTAAACCCTAAACCCTAAACAAAAGATGTCCCGAACTTGTGGGTGGAGGGGGCAAGCTGGCGATGAAGACTTGGGAAGCTGCGCAGGCGAAGCCCACTGGCACAGGGCCCCCCCTGGGCCCAAAGGGCGGGGGAGCCTGTGCCGAACTTCCCCCCGAAGGCAGGGCTGTGAACCTGAGAGCTGGAACCTTGGCTGTCGTTTTGGGGTTTAGGGTTTAGGGTTTAGGGTGTAGGGTTTAGGGTTTAGGGTTTAGGGTTTAGGGTTTAGGGTTTAGGGTTTAGGGTTTAGGGTTTAGGGTTTAGGGTTTAGGGTTTAGGGTTTAAGGTTTAAGGTTTAAGGTTTAGGGTTTAGGGTTTAGGGTTTAGGGTTTAGGGTTTCGGGTTTCGGAACCAGGGAAGAAAAAGTCTTGCTGCAGGAACGGGGCCCTCTACGACACGGCCACGGCCCCAGGGTTCGGAATCCGAGGCTGCGAGCTTCCCATCTAAAACCGTGGCTTCCGACACGCCCACGGGCGCTTAGAAGCACCTTTTCGGGTTTAGGGTTTAGGGTCAGTGTTTTCGGTTTTTTAGAGTTTTATGGGTTTGGGGTTTAGGGTTTAGGGTGCCAGAGAAGAGGGTTCAGGGCTAGCCCTATAATACTATAAGGGTTGCTTTCCGGAGAGCTATTTTCCAGACAGGTACAAAAAATGTAACGAGTAAACTCAAAGCTGAAACTTCGAGAAATCAGGCACTTGCGGTGCACGATGGTCGGGCCGCTCTCGTCGTACTCGCCCTTGGAGATCCACATCTGCTGGAAGGTGCTCAGGGAGGACAGGATGGAGCCTCCAATCCACACGCTGTACTTACGCTCCGGGGGGGCCACCACCTTGATCTTCATGGTGGAGGGCGCCAGGGCCGTCAGCTCCTTGGTCATTCTCTCGCCGATGCCCTGGAACATGGTGGTGCCACCGGACAGCACGACGTTGGAGTAGAGGTCCTTGCGGATGTCGACGTCGCACTTCATGATGGACTGGAAGGTCGTGTCGTGGATGCCACTGGCCTCCTTGCCAACGAAGCTGGGCTGGAACAGGACCTGGCACGGACATGCTGGGAAGGGGCGCTGCACTGCACTTAAAGTGCATAGTTAGGCCTTGCGACGCCCGTTCCCATGACAATGCTGACACTTATACCCGCTGCAAGCAGTGCGTCGTGACGGTTGAACTCTGGCCTCCGGGCAGCGGAAGCGCTCGGCGCCCACGGTGATGATGTTGCCGTCGGGCAGCTCGTAGGTCTTCTCCTTGTCGCTGCTCTCGCTGGCCGCCTTCATCTCGCTGTCGAAGTCCAGCGCGATGTAGCACAGCTTCTCCTTGACGTCCCGGACAATCTCACGCTCCGCCGTGGTGGTGAAGGAGTAGCCACGCTCGGTCAGGATCTTCATCATGTACTCCGTGAGGTCACGGCCGGCCAGGTCCAGTCGGAGGATGGCGTGGGGCAGCGCGTAGCCCTCGTAGATCCTAAGCTGCTTCTGCGTCATCGAGAAGAAACTGGCTCAGGTTTTACGGCCCATTCCCTGAACCTTGCCACGCCCGAACCGTATCCAAATACACAGCCCTCCCTTTGAACTCCACCTCCTGGAGCAACGTCTCAACCCCTCGACTCCGAAACCCCATTTCTGGTAGCCTTTTTGGGGTCTGAGGGGCTTGAGGTTTGAGGGTTAGGGGTTTGACTTCTTGCCCCTGTGATCAGATTTCGCCAAGGATCGGCACAGTGTGCGACACGCCATCGCCGCTGTCCTGTGTGGAAGGCTCGGGCGTGTTGGGGTTTAGGGTTTGTAGGGTTTGGGGGTTATAGGGCTTGCGGCTTTAGGATTTAGGGTAACAGGGCGTAGGGTTTGGGGCTTAAGCTTTAGGGTTCGGGACCAGCTCAGGTCCAACGGACGCTTTGACACCGGATCAGAGCCGCTTGAAGAATCCGAGGGTAAGCCCTCAACGCCGCGGAAATGTTGGAACATGTTGGAACTGAAAAAACAGTACCCTACACCCTGAACCCTACACCCTAAACCCAAAACCCTAAACCCTAAACCCTAAACCCTAAGCCCTGTCCATGACGATGCCGGTGGTGCGGCCGGAGGCATAGAGGGAGAGCACCGCCTGGATGGCCACGTACATGGCGGGCACCTGAGGGGATTCCCCTCTTTGCAGAGAGTCCCTAATCCCCTATTAGGGGGGGTAGGGTAGGGGAGGGGTAAATATTTGGTTTTAGGGTTGAGGGTTTAGGGTCAGTCCTGAAGTACAAGCCTGACAAAGCCCAGAGTGGGGTGATGGGGGCCATAGGCGTGGTGGTGTTCAGGCTTAGGGGCGTTTGGGGTGGGGGGGGGGGGGATAAACCATCAGAGGCCCTCCGCCCTGGCGCGTTGAAGGTCTCGAACATGATCTGCGTCATGCGCTCGCGGTTGGCCTTCGGGTTCAGCGGCGCCTCCGTCAGCAGCACCGGGTGCTCCTCCGGGGCGACGCGCAGCTCGTTGTAGAAGGTGTGGTGCCAGATCTTCTCCTAGGGCGGGCAACGCGCGCATGCTCCGTAATGTCCTCATGCCGTCTTGCAAAACTAAGGCGATGTTTTCACGACTTTGGCTATCGGCCAAGGCTCCATGTCGTCCCAGTTGGTGACGATGCCGTGCTCGATGGGGTACTTCAGGGTGAGGACACCTCGCTTGGACTGGGCCTCATCGCCCACGTAGGAGTCCTGCGCAAAGCCCCATCGCCCACGGCCGGGTTAAGCACTGACATTTTACGAGACCCTGGCAGCAGGCTCGACAAGCCCTACGAAGACTGGGCAGCCACCCAAGATTCCACAAGAAGCCCTAAGGCTCCCTAGGTACCTCCTCCCTCAGCAACCTTGCAAAAACATTCCCCAAGAAGCGATGTCGATCCTTCTGGTCCATGCCCACCATGATACCGGGCATCTTAGGGCGGCCCACGATGGATGGGAAGACGGCGCGGGGGGCATCATCGCCGGCGAAGCCAGCCTGCAGATCTGCTGATTGCGATTTACTTGATTTTATAGTAAAACATAAACAGAGAGGAGAGAGATAAGGTAAATAAAGCATATACACTTTCGGAGAGGAAGGTAAACTTTGGTTTGCTGGTGATAAAGTTCTGAGGTTTAGGGGTGAGTGGCCTTGGCACCTACTTCGGGCCAGGTTGGCTGAGTGTCGGCTGCTGTTGGCGGTGCTTGTCTGGCACTGATGAAGCTGATCCCCTTAAGAGGTGTGTAGGGTTTAGGGCTTAGGTGTTCGGGGCTTCTAGGGATTTAGGTGTTCTCGGGTTTACAGGGATTTAGGTGTTCGGGAATGAGAAATGTTGTGAAAACACCACAGGAAAATATAAACACCTGAACCCTACACCCTCAATCCTCAACCCTGAACCCTAAACACCAAACCCTAAACCCTAAACCAAGGGTTTTAACGTGTTTGGCAGGACCCACCTTGCACATGCCGCTGCCATTGTCCACCACCAACGCGGCAACCTTTCTCCCCGACAGGATTGAAAGGCTTTAAGGGGTTTTAGGGTTTCGGGTTTAGGGTTTAGGGCTTCGGGCTGTTTAGGCCTAGGGTTTCGGGTTTAGGGTTCATAGGGTCTAGGGTTTAGGGTCTAAACCCTAAACCTAGTGGCCTTCAGGAATCTGGGGAAGGGTTTCAGGATTCGCGGAGCCTCAGGTGTCAAATACAGTGATGGCTAGCTGGCTGCAACTATAGCTATCCTCCTTTCGCGCGCACACACACACACACACACACACACACCACTGTCCCCCCCCTCGCCCCCCCCCCCGCCCCCTCCCCGCCAAAAAAAAATCAAAAAAAAAAACTGAACAAAGCCAGCTTAAACCTCGCCTCCTCGTCACCCATGGCTGCGAGTAGGTCGAGAGGTGTGCGCTACCAAAGTTTGGTCTTTTCTTGGTTCAGCTGCAGAAGCGACAAGCGAACGTTGTCGGGCTGGATTGGTTCTAAGGTCAAAACCCCAAACCCTAAAACCCTCAACCCTCAACCCGAAACCCCAGGCCCTAAACCCGATTGCTGGTTCTAAGGTCAGGAGATTGGAGGCCCAGGTAGGTTGGGGAGGGGTTTGGGATTTGTGCCCAGCGCTTTGCCCTGTGTGGGACTGTGTGGGATGTGCCCTCAATAGCCTAAACCCTAAACCCTAAACCCTAAACCCTAAACCCCAAACCCTAAATCCTAAACCCTACACCCTAAACCCTAAACCCTAAACCCTACACCCTCAACCATCAACCCTAAACCCTAAACCCTTAGTTCCGGCTCAGGAACTCCTCTGCAGCTCCAAAAAGAAGACCCGACAAAAACGCGCTCTGAAGCTCGGGGCTTGAAAACGTTGCACAAGATGTCTGGGTTCAAGAGATAAGGGGTTATTAGGGTTTAGGGTTTAGGATTTAGGGTTTAGGGTTAGGAGACTAGGGGCTCAGGGTTTGGGGCTTAGGGCTTAGAGGGTAGAAGTTTCGTAAAGGCCAGAAGCTTCACAGGCTCATAATCTCTGGATTTTGGGCTCCCTTCCCCTAAACCCTAATTAAACCCGAAACCTGAACCCCTAGACCCCTAAACCCTAAACCCTGCAGCACAAAAGGAGGGGCTGCAGGCAGCACCTTAAGCACCGTCAGGAGCAACAGGAGGTCTCCGCGGTCGAGCTTGGCCAAGGTCGTCACCTTTCGGCTAAAGAAGAGAAGGGTTTAGGGTTTAGTGCTTAGGGTTTGGGGTTTAGGGTTTAGGGTTTAGGGTTTGGGGTTTGGGGTTTCGGGTTTAGGGTTTAGGGTTCAGGGTTCAGGGTTCAGGGTTCAAATGGCATTAAATCATTAGCGCGATGATTTTGTGACTCTTCGGGTTCTTCGGGCCAGTAGGCTTCTGAGTCTTATTGTCCTTCAGGCTCTTGCGACTTGCAACCCCCCCCCCCCCCCCCCCCCCGACCTCCGGAAAGTGACTCCCCTACAAACGATCATCCCCAAACCCAAAACCCTACCTAAATCCCTAATGCCTGCAAACCCTAAACCCTCAACACGAATCCCTACAAACCTAAACCCCTACACCCTACCACCCTAAACCCCAATCCCTAAAACCCTTTAGGGCTTGCGGTTGAGGGTGTCGCCATCCCCTCCAAAACGGGGCGATGGGCTGTGAGGTTTACCGCCGGGTGGCGGAGCCTCTGAAGCTTGGGGGGCCTCCGATTTAGGTTTACTACTATAAGTTACCTAGCACTACTCCTATTGTTATTGCTGCTGTAGCACCTTTTGGAGGATCTGGCGTTGCTGGCGGGTCGAAGGGAGGGATCCGGGCTGCTACCAAGACTTGCGAGCCCCACGCGGGCGCTTTTGACGCCAGCCCCCAGGTCGATGACGCGGCAAAATAGGGGCCCGTCAACTAGGATGGGCATTTTGGCTAGTAATCGTTTAGAATGTAGTCAGGAAGGGATACGGGGTGGATAGGCATTGGTAGTTCTAGTGATTACTTCGGGAAAGGCGGGGGAAAGGCACCCGAAACGCTTGATCACTGAACCCCTGCACCCTGCACAGCAGAGCCTTACCCGATTGGGTGTGGGAGGAAGCTCTGCATCTTAATTGCAAGCGTATCCTTGCCCCTGCCCTCTAGCTGCAACACCCCCCCCCCTTCCCACCCCTCCCACCCCCGGCCCGCCAAGTCTGCTTTCCCCTACATGTCCAGTCAGGGTCAAGACCCGCTCATGTGCAGGGGGGCTGTGTAAAGACATTATATACCCCCAACCCGAACCCCCTAACCCTGAACCCTAAACCCGAAACCACAAAACCCTAAACCCCAAACCCCCAAAACCCCAAGACCCCAACACCCAAAACCCCAAAACCCCAAAACCCCAAAACCCAAAACCCCAAGACCCTACCTCCCCCCGCCCCCCAGGTCTCCAGACCAGCTGGGTGTCCAGTGACTTGAAGGGGCCGTCCTGGCTTTTGGCCTGGCATGCGGTTTAAGGTTTATGGGTTTGGGGTTTAGGGTTGAGGGTTGAGGGTCTAGGGTCTAGGGTTTAGGGTTTGGGGGTTTGGGGGTTTGGGGGTTTGGGGGTTTGGGGGTTTGGGGGTTTGGGGGTTTGGGGGTTTGGGGGTTTGGGGGTTTGGGGGTTTGGGTGGTTTGCCGGTTTGGGGGTTTGGGGGTTTGGGGGGTTTGGGGGTTTGGGGGTTTGGGGGTTTGGGGGTTTGGGGGTTTGGGGGTTTGGGGGGTTTGGGGGTTTGGGGGTTTGGGGGTTTGGGGGTTTGGGGGTTTGGGGGTTTGGGGGGTTGGGGGGTTGGGGGTTTAGGGTTTACGGTTTAGGGTTTTGGGTTTAGGGTTTAGGGTTGAGGGTTGAGGGTTCTGCCCAAGGTGGGAGGGCTGCAGGAGCTTTGGGCTTTGGGGCTTTGGGGTTGTCGGGCTTAGGATTTAGGGCCGAGGGGGTCGAACAGCAGCTACATATAGGGCTAGCACCCAAACTGCCATAGCTATGGCTCTCCGAAGTAATCACCCCTACCTATACCTCCCACGAAGCAGCTGGTCGCCGTTTCAGGCCCTGTGCCGGTGAAGGACTGCATGACTCGCTTCATTCCCCAAAGAGCACGCACACGCTGAGAAGGCACGGACGGAGGGGGGCAGGGGGTGGGGGGGGCGTTCTGAAAAATGAGCCCTGTTTTTGTTTTTTTTTTTTTGTGTGTGTGTGTGTGTGTGTGTGTGTGTCTCTTTTTTTGTGGGGGGGGGGGGGGGGAAACCTCATGTTCGGGAATTGCAGGGTACCCCAAAAAGGACGAAACCCGCCCATGGGGGGTTTTTGCATGGAGGATGTTGGGTACAGAATCTCGCAAAGAGGTGGAAGCCCAAAAACCCATCCCTCAACCCCAAAGTGCGGGCCCGGGGTTGGAATATGTCAGAATCCCAAATAAGGGTTGGGGTTTAGGGTTTAGCGTCTGGGGCTTACGCAGCCCACCCTAAACCCCAAACCCCAAACCCCAAACCTAAACCCTAAACCCTAAACCCTAAACCCTAAACCCTAAACCCTAAACCCTAAACCCTAAACCCTAAACCCTAAACCCTAAACCCTAAACCCTAAACCCTAAACCCTAAACCCTAAACCCTAAACCCTAAACGCAAAGCATCCCTAAGCTTTTCAGGGCGGGAGTGCCATCGTCATCATGTTCAGAAACTCGAGGAAGTCAATGCTTCCGCTCCTTGGCTCTCCCAAGCGTAGAGTTTTTTTGCTGGGTTCTTGTTAGGGTTTAGGGTTCAGAGTTCTAGGGGTTTAGGGTTTTACAACACGAGGCACTGTCATAAGCGTTCATGCCATCTTGCAAACATGCCCAAAAAGCTTCCTGTTTGCAGCGTCTGCCTCTTTAAAACAGAGTGTGCAGCGTGCGTCGCGTCGAATGCATCTACAGCTGGGTCTGGCGCTCGCAGCTGGATGTCGCGGATTACTTGGGGAAAGTGTGCCCCAAAACCCCAAGCCCTAAGCCCTAAACCCTAAACCCTAGACCCTAAGCTTGAGTCCGTGGACTGGATTTTCTCGCAGCACGCATCCCTCCATTTCCTAAAACCCTATAAGTCCTCAACAGCTTAAACGCCCTGAACTGGACCTAAGCACTCAAGAGCCACAGAACCCCTAAACCCTAAACCCGAAACCCCAAACCCCAAACCCTAAACCCTAAACCCCAAACCCTAAACCCTAAACCCTAAACCCCAAACCCCAAACCCCAAACCTTAAACCCTAAACCCCCAAAGCCCCTAGGCCCCCGGCAGATCGTAGTCGAAGACGCGGAAGGCGACCGCTGCGCAGGCCTGCCATTCCAGGGACGAAAGGTTTAGGGTTTAGGGTTTAGGGTTTAGGGTTTAGGGTTTAGGGTTTAGGGTTTAGGGTTTAGGGTTTAGGGTTTAGGGTTTAGGGTTTAGGGTGTAGGGTGTAGGGTGTAGGGGGGTTTAGCGTTTAGGGATTTGGGTTCAGAGTTTAGGGAACTTTAGGGGTCTGATGAAGGGGCTTTGAAGAGTTTAGGGTGTAGGGATTTAAAGTTTTAGAGGTTCAGGGGGCTTAGGAGGGTTAGGGTTGAGGGCTTTGAACCTCTAGACCCTTAACCCTTAGCCCCCTAACCCCAAACCCTAGCCCCCCGAACCCCAAACCCTAAGCCCCGAATCCCAAACCCTAAACCCCAAACCCGAGACCCCGAAAAAACAACGGAAGCCCTAAACCCTAAACCCTAAACCCTGAACCCCCCCTTTCAATGTGCTTCAGACTTTCGGTCGCACCGGGTGCGGCAAAGTGATGTCCAGGGAGTGGAGCGCCAGCTCGACCTGCACCTGCTCAGGGTCGGATTAGGGCTCAGGGTTCAGGGTTTTAGGATTTAGGATTTAGGATTTAGGGTTTAGGGTTTAGGGTTTAGGGTTTAGGGTTTAGGGTTTAGGGCCTAGGGGTTAGGGGTTAGGGGTTAGGGGTTAGGGTTTAGGGGTTAGGATTTAGGGTTTTGGGTTTTCGGGTTTAGGTTGAGCATGGGGTTTCGTTGCATGGGATCACATTCTGCTGCGGGCTCAGGGCTCAAGGTTTTGGAGCGGAACCCCAGCAATATAAACCCTACCTTAGCAAGCCCTACAGCAGCACCAAACCCTCTAAACCCTAAACCCTCTAAACCCTAAACCCTAAACCCTAAACCCTAAACCCTAAACCCTAAACCCTAAACCCTAAAACCCCCCAAGCCCAGCCCTCACCCACTCACACCTCCGTCAGCAGGCCGGTGCCGTGCGGGTCGAGCTTCTTGAACATCTTGCGCATCTCCTGCACTCCACCAGGGTTTCGGGAGTGCAGGGGTTGCTCTAAACCCTAAACCCTAAACCCTAAACCCTAAGCCCTAAACCCTAAACCCTAA